CCAAAGTGCTGGGATTACAGGCGTGAGCCACCGTGCCTGGCCCTTATTATTTCATCCTAACAAATACAGCTTTGGGCAAGTTACTGGACTGCTGAGTCTTTTTCTTCTTCTTTTAAAAAAGTAGTAAAAGACTAAAGAATTTACTTTGGATTTCAGCACTGTTTAGAGAATAATCTACCTCTTGAACATTGATTTGATATTTCATTTATCATATTAACTTCCTAAAAATGCCAACATTTGTTTGGCATGTCTTTTATAATATTTAGAAGCATAAAATATCTCTTCATATATCCAGATCAAATATGTGTCTCAGACAAGCTTTGCAGTTTTTTTCAAACAGAGGCTACATATTTCTTGATCTAGGTTGATTCTGAATTTTCTGTTTGTTACCTCTATAAATGAGAATTCCCTGTTGCCTGAGGAATGCTTGTCTTGAGAGATGTTGTTCAAGCACTGAGAATTCCATGCTCACTTCGATTTGGGAAACAGATCATAGTGTATTTCTCTTTTGAAGATTTATGGTATTTAAGGTCTTCATAAATTTGGTGGTGGACTAACTTGTTTAACTTTGAGAACAAAATTACTCATCCGTGGAGCACATATTTACTTGTAATTAAAATACTGGAATTAAATGACTGTGTAGATAGTTTAGTTTATTTGATACAGTTCTAGACTACTGGTATTACTAACTGACATTTGATTTTAAAGTGTTTAGATTTCATTTAAGTATTAGTAAAACTAAATCTTTAACTCAAAAATTCAAAAGCACATTATAAAGCACCCTTGAGCTCTCCTGGCTCTGGTTATTTGACCTTGGTAACCTCTGCCCTAGAGCTCTTAGGCTTTTTGTGCCTTCCTGCCTTATTTAGTCCCCTGATGGACACTTTGGGGACACTCTCTAGGCAGTGGGCCCCAAGTAGCAGCAGTTGTATCTTTCTTCCGACAAACAGAGGAAGAAGTGGCCGTGCCAGGGTTATTCTCCCAGCAGAGAGGTCTGGCCAGGTTTATGCACAGGCATTATTGTTTTTATTTTGAGCATGTGCAGGAGAAAGGGGTGGGTAGTTGCAGAAGCTGAGTGTTTAAGAGGGCTAGGGCAAGAAGAACTTGTACAGATAGTGACAGGGACATGGGGAAGGCAGGGAGGGTAAAGGGATTAAAGCCAAGAAGGAGTAATGAGGTGCTGGCCAATATGTGAGACAGATGTAAAAGGCCAGTATTTTGGTACATGGATACCTTGTTGAATTGCACTTGCCTTTATTACACTTTACAGATATTGCAATTTTTACAAATTAAAGGTTAATGGCAACCATGTGTCAAGCAAGTCTATGGGCACCGTTTTTCCATCAGCATATGCTGACTTCATGTCTATCACATATTGGTAATTCTCACAAGATTTCAAACTTATCATTATTATATTTCTTGTGGTGCTCTATAATCAGTGATCTTTTACATTACTATTGTAATTGTTTTAAGTGCCATGAATGACACCCATATAAGATGATGAACTTAATGGATAAATGTTGAGTGTCTTCTGACTGCTTCACCGACCAGCTAGTCCTGTCATTCTTCCTCTCCTTGGGCCTCCCTAGTCCCTGAGACACAGCAGTATTGAAATTAGGCCAATTGATAACCCTATAGTGACCTCTAAGTGTTCAACTGAGAGAAGGAGTCATAGGTCTCTCACTTTAAAGCAAAAGCTAGAAATGATTAAGCTTAGTGGGAAAGTGTGTTAGAAGCTGAGAAAGGCCGAAAGCTTGGCCTCTTGCGCCAGTTAGCAAAAGTGCTAATTCAGTGAACACATGAATGATAAGAGAGAAACAGCCTTATTGTTAATGTAGAGAAAGTTTTAGTGGCCTGAATAGAAGAGCAAACAAACCACAACATTCACTTAAGCAAAAGCCTAATCCAGGGTGAGATTCTAGCCCTCTTCAATTCTATGAAGACTTGAGAAAGATGAGGAAGTTTCAGAAGAAAAGTTTGAAGCTAGCAGAAGTTGGTTCATGAGATTTAAGGAAAGCAGCTGCCTCCATAACATAAAAGTGCAAGATGAAAGCAGCAGTGCTAATATAGAAGCTACAGCAAATTATCTAGCTAAGATCATTGAATGAACAGATCATTAAAGAACAGATTCTTGATGTAGATGAAACAGTTTTCTATTGGAAGAAGATGCCATCTAAGACTTTCATAGCTAGAGAGAAGTCAACACCTGGCTTTGAAGCTTCAAAGGACAGGCTGACTGTTTTTAGGGACTAATGCAACTGGTGACTGTAAGTTAAAGCCAGTGCTCACTTGCCATTCCCCAAATCCTAGGGCCCTTAAGAATTGTACTAAATCTACTCTGCCTATGTTCTATAAATGGAACAGCAAAGCCTGGATGACAGCACATGTGTATATAGCATAGTTTACTGAATATTTTAGGCCCACTGTTGAGAACTTCTGCTCAGGAAAAAAGATGCCTTTCAAAATATTCCTGCTTATTAACAATGCATCTGATCACCCGAGAGTGCTGATGGAAATTAATGTTGTTTTCATGCCTGCTAAGACAACATCCGTTCTGCAGCCCATGGATCAAGGGGTAATTTTGACTTTCTTGTCTCATTATTTAAGAAATAAGGCTATAGCTACCACAAATAGTGATTTCCTCTGATGGATCTGGGCAAAATAAATTGAAAACCTTCCAGAGAAAGGATTCACCATTCTAGATGCCATAAAACATTCATGATTCACAGGAAGAGGTCAAAATATCAACATGAACAAGAACTTGGAAGAAGTTGATTTTAACCCTCATGAATGACTTTGAGAGGTTCAAGACTTCAATGGAGAAAGTAACTACAGATGTGGTGGAAATCACAAGAGATCTAGATTTAGAAGTGGAGCCTGAAGATGTGACCGAATTGCTGCCATCTCATGATAAAACTTGAGTGGATAAGGAGTTGCTTCTTATGGATGAGCAAAGAAAGTGGTATTATGGAATGGAATCCACTCCTGGTGAAGATGCTGTGAACATTGTTTAACTGACAACAAAGGATTTAGACTATTACGTAAACTTAGTTGATATAGTTGATAAAGTAGCAGCAAGGTTTGAGAAGACTGACTCCCATTTTGAAAGAAGTTCTACCAGGGGTAAATGCTGTCAAACACCATTGTATGCTGCAGAGAAATCTTTCATGAAAGAGTTGATTGATGCAGCAAACTTTGTTGTTATCCTATTGTAATAAATTGCCACAGCCACCCCAGCCTTCAGCAACTACCACCCTGATCAGTCAGCAGCCATCAACATCAAGGCAAGACCCTCCCCCTGCAAAAGTTTAGGACCTACTGAAGGCTCAGATGATTATTAGCATTTTTTAGCAATAAAATATTTTTAATTAAGATATGTACATTGGTTTTTTAGCCATAATGCTGTTGCACGCCTAATAGACTACAATATAGTGTAAAATAACTTTTCTATGTACTGGGAAACCAAAACATTTGTGTGACTTGCTTTATTGCAATATTCGCTTTATCACAGTGATCTGGAATAGAACTTGCAGTATCGCCAAGGTATGCCAGTACTTAAAAATAGCACAGAATAGCAAAAACTAATAAAGCCAATAAAAACAAAGCGCAAAAACGAATATTACAGCTATTAATATTAGTATAAACATCTATTCTTACCTATGTATTAATCACTGGTGTTATGTACAAAAACTATTGATTTTTTTGGTGTGTAGTACCACAAATTCTGATAGGTTTTCAGTAGATTTTTCTGAGTATTCTAGATAGATGTCTATTGTCTACATATAATGAAAAATAGTTCTTTTTTTTTCCTTATAGTTTTACCAGCTAAATATCTTGTCTTGGCCAGAAACTTCTAGGGAAATATTAAATAATAGTGCTAACTGGCATCTATTTTATTCCTTTTGGAAATGCCAAATATATATTATGAGATTTGAAAGGTTTTTTGATTTGTTTCTATCATGTTAAATGTCCTTCCATTTATAGTTTAAGAATCAGTGTCAGGAGTAGATGCTGAATTCACATGAAATGTTCCTTCAATTTTTATTCATGTGATAGATTTTCCTAATATTACACCTTCACTATATAAAATCCTTAGAATAAACTATATTTGCTCTTGGTGGACTATTTTTAATGTAAGTTAATATTTTGTTGAGCATCTTTGCACCTATGTTTTTAAGTGAGATTAGTTTATATAGTTGTGGGTAGAGGGCCAGTGCTATCTTTAATTTTTTGTTTTAGCTTTAGAATTATGCTTACATTGTAAGCTTTGCCTGCCCACCTGTCTTCCTTCACTTATTTCTGTCTTTTGGTATGTTCCAGAATAATTTATATAGCATTAGAGTGAGCCTTTTCCTCAAAGCACTGTGTAAAGCCATCTTCTAGAGTTTGGTTGTTGGCCAGGCGTGGTGGCTAGCCCTGGTAATCCCAGCACTTTGAGAGGCTGAGGTAGGAGGATTGCTTGAGCCTAAGAGTTTGAGACTAGCCTGGGCAACATAGTGAGACAAAACAATTTAAAAATCAGCCAGGCATGATGTGGCATGTGCCTGTAGTCCCAGGTACTCAGGAGGCTAAGGTGGGAGGCTGCAAGGAGTAGTGATTGTGCCACTGCGTTCCAACCTGGGCAACAGCGAGACCGTGTTTCAAAAAAATATAAAAATAAAAATAGAGTTTGGTTATCTTTGTTGGTAGTTTTTATTTCTGTACTTATTGGGAGTGGGGAGCTGCAAAGGTCATGATCTTTTGATTTTCTGTTTCTTGGTTTATTTGGTATTCTCATTTTAAGAAGCTTTTCTATCTCACTTTTTTTAAAGATGAGTAGGAAAAAATAGATTAGGATTTTTTTTCTTTTTTGTCTTTTATAAATTTTGAATCATTAGAAAATGCTTAGCAGTCGAAACGTTCTTTATTAATCTTTATGAAAGTTAGTAAACTTTGGCCTTTTCTTAGATACATGTCAGAGAGCAAAGCATATTCTAGCTAATACCTTGTGCTTCTTACAGAGATCAGCAGGCAAAATAAGCTCATTCAAGAAAAAAAGGATAACTTGTTAAAATTGATTGCTGAAGTAAAAGGCAAAAAGCAGGAATTGGAAGTACTGACTGCAAATATCCAGGATCTTAAGGAAGAATATTCTAGGAAGAAGGAAAGTAAGTTTCCTGTTGTAAACATACTGATCTAAAATGGAAAGTGGTGACGGTTCACCATTATTAAGTACATCTTGCCTGTTCAAATTCATTGCTAAAAATGGATTACAGTACCTCAGGGCATAACCAGCCACTCATCTCTGCAAGATGTCATTAAAGTTAGCTAACTGGGTTTTATTTCCTTAACTTAAAGGGCCTTCTCTTGTGATTTTTAATATAATCAGTAATAATGAAATTGATATGAGGTTTTATTTATTTATTTTTATTTTTCCTGAGACAGAGTTTCACTCTTGTTGCCCAGGCTGGAGTGCAATGGCACGATCTTGACTCACTGCAACCTCCACCTCCCAGGTTCAAGCAATTCTCCTGCCAAAGCCTCCCGAGTAGCTGGGATTACAGGCACCTGCCACCACACCTGGCTAATTTTTGTATTTTTAGTAGAGACAGGGTTTTCACCATGTTGGCCAGGTTGGTCTTGTACTCCTGACCTCAGGTGATCCACCTGCCTCAGCCTCCCAAAGTGCTGGGATTACAGGCGTGAGCCACCATACCCGGCTGATAAAAGGTTTTAATTAAGCAGAGTGAGAAGTGGTGTCCCTAAATAAAATTTGCTTTGGACAAGCCATAGTGTACTTTATGCAACAAATATTTATTGACCATACATTCTCTGCTAGGTAATATTCAGTGCTCTTTTTATGCTGCAAAATCTCTTTTGTATAAAGAACTTTCATATTCAGATGAATGCATCTTTTACAAAGGAGCCTTGTTTGCTCACAAACTAGGTAATCTATTCTTCAAATCTTCTGAAAATAGCAAAGTTTGTTTTGTTAATGCTTTTTCATGTGGAGTTCTTAACCAAGTCTAAATTGTGAAATTATTTTTCTCATTACTTAGGGACTATTGTGTTACTTTAAAGTATACTTAGGGACTATTGTACTAACTTAAAAAAAAAGAAAAAGAAAAAACTTTTTTTTTCATGAAATAAGGCTGACCTCTTATAAGAAATAGTTACACTTAAAGGAATAGAACATTTTCCCATGAAGCAATTGGTTATCTAGAAAAAGCACAATAGTATAAATGAAGTCTGTTTATTTCTATGCCAGCCATACGAATCCCTGGCCTATTTATTTATGCTACTACATAATAAAGCAAGACAAGGCTTATTCTTCTCTCTATCTGTATACATTTTCTTGGGCAGTTTTTCCTTCCAACTTGAATGAACAAAAACTTCTTTTAGCTAACTGGTAGATATAGAAACAATAAATGAAAGCAGATTTATAGGCTTGGCATCATTTTATAGTCGATTTTAAGTTTAAAAAATTAACTCAGCATTAATTTACTATTTAAAACATTTAATATGTGTGTGTTTTTTAATCACAGCTATTTCTACTGCTAATAAAGCGAATGCAGAGAGGTTGAAAAGGCTGCAGAAATCTGCAGACTTGTATAAAGATCGACTTGGACTAGAAATTCGAAAAATTTATGGTAAGTTTGTTAATATAAGTAAAACACAGGAGATTAGAAAAGTATGTCTTTTCTTAAATAGAGGAGAATTTAAAAAATATTTTCAACTAAAATGATGACATTAACTTTTTAGAAAATAGGAAAAAATTACAATTTTTAAATTATTCTAACATAGTTACTGATGCTCTAGTTATTTATCATTCAGTATTTTAATAAATGTATTTTTGGCAGGATTGTCAACATGCAAATAATTTTTGTTGTTCCTATCAACATTGTATTATGAGCATTTCCTCAGTTGCTATAGCCTTCATAATGGTAATTTTTAAATAGTGGTATAATAATTCATTCTATTCATATAGTGTAGTTTATTCAACCATTTATCTATTGTTTAACACATATTTTGCTTCTACCAACATTTGGAATATGCCAGTTTTTTCAGTTTTAGAAATACAGGTATCCCCCCTTATTCACGGTTTCTGTTACCTATGTTCAGCCATGGTCTGACAATGTTAAATGGATGAGTATAGTACAATAAGATATTTTGAGAGGGAGAGAAGCCACATTCAGATAACTATAACTTTTATTATAGTATGTTGTTCTAATTGTTCTATTTTATTATTAGTTGTTATTAATCTCTTCCTGTGCCTAATTTACAACTTAAACTTTATCATAGGTGTGTATGTATAGGAAAAAACATAGTATGGACAGTCCCTGACTTACGATAGTTCAACTTACAATTTTTTGACTTTATAATCAGTGTATCAGGGTGGTAAGTGCATTTTTGCCCTACAAGGTTTTTGACTTTTGATGTGTTTATTGGCACATAATGCCATTGTAAGTCAAGGAGCATCTGTTTACATAGGGTTTGGTACTATCTGTGGTTTCAGGCATCTGTTGAGGGTCTTGGAATGTATTTCTCCCTGGTGGGTAAAGGGGGACTATTGTAAACCGGTGAGCATTGACTTTCCTGTTTTCTTTGTATGGTTTTTCATAGTATTGTTTCCCAGAGAGGAATTGCTAGGCTAAAACACATGAATATTTTGATGCCTGTTGCATGTATATCACATGTACATTGCTAATGTACGCCAATGTCTGTTGTGTCTGGGCTTCCCAAGATCACTCTTAGCTTTGGTGATTCACCAGAAGGAATTAGCATATAGTCATATTCATGGCTAAGATTTACTGCAGCAAAAGGATACAGAACAGAATCAGCAAAGAAACAATAGCACATGGAGCAAAGTCTACAGGAAACCTGGCACAAGCTTTCAAGAGTCCTAACCCAGTACAGTCAAACAGGATGTGCGAATTCCTTCAGCATCAAATTGCGACAACACATGTGAAGTGTTGTCTACCAGGAAGCTCATTAGAGGCTCTGGAAGCTTGTACCTGGTTCTCCTTGGACTGTACCCCATGTACCATTTCCCTTTGCTGATTTTGTTATATCCTTTTGCTGTAATAAACCATAGCCCTGAGTATGGCCATATGCTGCTGAGTGAATCCTGTGAGTTCTCCTAGTGAATCATAAAAAAGACCACAGCTGCCAAGTTCATTCCATTTTATGGCTGAACAATGTTCCATTGTATGTATATACTATATCCATTCATCTGTTGGTGGACACTGGGTTATTTCCACTTTTGGGCTACTATGAATAATGCTGCTATGAACATTGGCATACAGTTATCTACTTGAGTCTGTTTTCAATTCTTTTGGATATATACTTAGGAGTGGAATTGCTGGGTCATATTGTAATTCTATATTTAAACTTTTTGAGGATCTGCCAAAGTGTTTTTCACAGTGGCTGTACCATTTTACATTTCTACCAGCAATGTACTAGGGTTCCAGTTTCTCCACATCCTCACCAACATGGTTATTTTCCATTTATTTATTTGCCATCCTACTGGGTATGAAATGGTATCTCATTGTAGTTTCGGCTTGCATTTACATAATGACTAATGATGTTGAACATCTTTTCAGGTACTTAATGGGCATTTTTATATATTCTTTGGAGAAATGTTCTTTCAGGTGTTTTGCCCATTGTTGAATTGGGTGGTTTTTAGTTGTAGGAGTTTTAAATACATTCTATGTATTCAACCTTTATCAGATAAATGATTTGCAAATATTTTCTCCCATTCTTTAGGTTGTCTTTTTCTTCTCTTGATAGTGTTCTTTGAAGGACAAAAGTTTTTAATTTTAACAAAGTCCAATTTATCTAGCTTTTCTTTTGTTAACTGTATTTTTGATGTCATATTGAAACTATAATATATTTTAAAATGAATTTGTAACTTCTGCATTTGGAAATGTTGGTTACGTGACTGTACATGCTTAGCAGTGCAGATATTGATTCAAGATGGAGTAAGAAAGGGTATCGCTATTGAAAGCTTTGACACACTAAATAGTTCAATCTCTTTTCAGGTGAGAAATTGCAGTTTATATTCACTAATATTGACCCTAAGAATCCTGAGAGCCCATTTATGTTTTCCCTGCATCTAAATGAAGCAAGGGACTATGAAGGTATGTACTAATATCTCCTAACTGGTATTTAAGATTGGCATTCCAAAATATTATTTCAATCAGAATATAAAGTAATATGGAGGAAAGCAATAGCTTCAGACTCTATTGCTTCCTTTTTCAGTCTTGCTTCTTGGGTTATAGTCTTCTAAAGGAAGTGAATATACTCTTGATTTATAGATATTGTCTAGGATCCTTAATAAGTAGCATCTGTTCAGGATGGCACAGTGCCAGAGTGTCTGAAAAATCTAAAAATCACTGCATTCATGTGCAAATATGAATTTTCCTTTTAGATAACTTTTTTAAAAACTGAAGCTTTAAAGAATATGGCTGCTTAAATGTGAATATTAGAACTTATCCAAGTAGATCATTTTAAAGTCACATGTAAAATCACCAGAATTTAACAATTTATTTTCCCAAAAATACATTTTTGAAAAACTATTTCATCCTGCAAATCTCACCCATTGATAATAAAGGTTAGTTACTGATTCTGCAGCTGGCCAAAAGGCCTTTGATTTATAAGGAATATATATCTTTGATAATAATGTGAACAAGAAGGGAATAGAAATATGTTTATCTCTTGTTTATTCTTGTAATGCCCCTGTACAAGTAATCCTTAATTTATTGGAATTCATAAAAATGGTTCTCAGCTCATTACACCTGTGCTATCATCTTAAAGCCTTTGTAGCTGACAGACACTCAGGTGAACTGCTGAGCTAGCACAGCCCTGTGCCCTGGTGGCTCAGTTCCTGTTCCGAGGGAATTTATATTTTGAGAATCTGATTCATATACAGATGTTTGGGTTTTTTTCTCTCTAGATAAATATCTTCCAATCTAATTAGTGCTAGATTTTAAAAAGCAAGCCCCAAAAACCTCTTATCTAGCTTTTCAATTTTCTCTAAATTGGATATTCTCTTATGGTATAATCTGATAGTACATGATGGTATATTACAATAGAATATACAGGATACATTTTGGACCGGATGCCCTTTGCTGTTGTTTCTCTGCTGTGGTCATGGGCCTTGTTTCCTAAGCAGTCTGTACCCGAGAGCTGGAAATCTGATAATGGGTGAATTTCTTTTCCTTTGACCACTTTCACTGGAGACTTGTCCCAGTGTACCAGCTGGTACAACTACATACAAGAATAATACTGTTATTTGTGACTTTGAGTCTCATTTGATTAATAGCCCCTGTAAATACCACTCTTGGAATAGCAACCACATTTTCTAATGCCTGCCATTTCACTTGGAAAATTTTAGATATTTCTTTCATAATTGTAAATTATTAAGGCTAGGCACTGAAAATTGTTCTTTTTTCAGGCTGGGCATGGTGGCTCACGCCTGTAATTCCAGCACTTTGGGAGGCAAAGGCGGGCGGATCACTTGAGGTCAGGAGTTCAAGACCAGCCTGGGCAGCATGGCGAAACCCTGTCTCTACTAAAAATATATAAGTTAGCTGCACATACATGTTACCTGTAATCCCAGCTACTCAGAAAGCTGAGGCAAGAAAATTGCTTGAACCCAGGAGACGGAGGTTGCAGTGAGCTGAGATTGCACCACTGCACTTCCAGGCTTGGTGACAAATCAAGACTCTGTCTCAAAAAAAAAAAAAAAAATTGTTCTTTTTTTTTTTTTTTTCCAAATCCAGTGGTCAGAAATGAAAAGTCAGTCAGACCAAAGTTTTGCAGATAAAAATGACTTAACAGTTTTAAAAAAAAAGTTTAAATAGTTAAAATATATAGGTTTAAGATGATGGGCAGGGTCATTCTGCATCACTAAACTCTCAATCCTTGAGTGCCATCTGTTTAAATTTAAAGCAAGATTATAGTACTTCAGATTTGAATATTTAGAGATTAAATGAAGGAAAGATCCAAAAGATAGTTGGCATGTGAAAATCAAGTGTATCCTTTTTTGCTCAAAGAATTTCATTAAGATGGAATTGACATTCAAACCAGATGAGAGCATCTAAATTAGAAACACTTCTCTGCCATAAAAAATCTATTCTAATTGTCTTTGATTTTTTTTTTTTCCCTAGTGTCAGATAGTGCCCCTCATCTTGAGGGCCTAGCAGAATTTCAAGAGAATGTAAGGAAGACCAACAATTTTTCAGCTTTTCTTGCCAATGTTCGGAAAGCTTTTACTGCCACGGTTTATAATTAAGGTACAAATAGTGTATATAAAAATGGTTTATTTTTCTTGTCTATTTTGTGTCTCTTTTTAAAAGAATTCTCATTATCTGCTGTCTGCCTGTAATTCTTTGGTATTTTTGTAACATTCTGTGTGGCATACTTCTTTCAATCACAGTAGTCCATCCTTATCTGCAGTTTTGCTTTTTACAGTTCTAGTTACCCACAGTCAACTGTGGTCCAAAAATATTAAATGGGTAGAATGCAGTACAAGACATTTTGAGAGAAAGAAACATTTCATATACATAACTTTTATTACTGTATGTTGTTATAATTGTTCTATTTTATTACTTATTGTTGTTAACCTCTTACTGTGCCTAATTTGTAAATAAAGCTTTATCATAGATATTTATGTATGGGGAAAAAGCAGTCTATATTGGATTTAGCACTACCTAAGGTTTCAGACATCTACTGGGAGTCTTTTAACATCCCCCACGGGTAAAGGAGAACTACTGTATTTTAATTAAAATCTTAGGGAAACATATAAAGTAAAATATGTTCTTTTAATTAATGAAAGATAATTAGTTTACTACTTTTTTTTTTTTCTGTAAATGTCAGGCATGAGTAACTTAGGCTAGCACTGGGAATGGAAATTTGTTCAGCCTGCACTGGGTTTCAGTGGTCTCCAAGCTTTTGTACCACTTAATATGGACTCTCAATATTAAAAAATTAAAAGGACGGGTCCAACCTAAGTTTGACAGTTTTTAACATGTACTGGGCAAAATAAACTCTACTATCTTACTATCAACTTAATGTCAAAAAAGAAAGAATATTTTTACCTTACACCAAGAGAGATCTATAATTAGAATAACGGACGATCCTTCACATCAGAAGAAAGTTGGCAGCATTTTACTAGGATATAGTTTTGAAAATCTAAATGTAGAAATTTATAAACAGTTTCCATTCTGTAATGTTTGCCATTTAATTGTGGTCTGGATATAAGTTTGTCATCTTGGGAGTCTGTTCACCACAGATTAGAGTTCAAATGTCAACTTATTCTAGGACTTTTTTTTTTGTCCTCATCCTTTCTGTGTAAATTTGATGGCATTTAAGTGTGCTAGCTATAGTGAAAGCTACATAATACTGTTCCAGTATAGCGTGAGCACACCTAGAAACCGTAGAACAATGCCTTCCATGCCTTCAGTTGCTTCTCCTGCCTTCTCCCTGAATAATCTGGGGGAAAATTCAACTTGTCGCCCAGTTAGTGAGAGGAGGAAGGGAGTTTCAGAGCAGCCTCTCTCAGTGGCCGCTGTAGGGACAGAAAGATGTGATACCTTTCCTCATCCATCATAAGGGTCACAACCAACACTCCTATAGCAAAAGACAGGTTAACAAGAGAAAAACACAACAAATGTATTTAATCCAAGTTTTATGTGACATGGGAGCCTTCGGAAATGAAGACTTAAATATGCAGGTAAAACTGTCTGTTTTTATGCTTATGTTTGAGGAAGAATGGAAGAATGGACAGCCGTGTAGAAACGTGATTGGATGAACAGGTGTGATCTAGTGGTAATAAACTGAAGAAACCTTCAAGGCCTGTCTGTTCAGGTCTTTCTTGGGGTCTTTCTGTGTAGCTTTCCTTCTTCCTGGGCGTGAGGCAGGACCCTTATCGAAGGAGGGTCTTAGGACATAGTAAGGTGGGGGAAAGTTGGAGTAATATTTCTAGGTTTTACAACTTACTTTAGAGAAGAGAGGAGCAAGAAGCAGGAAGGCAGGAAAAGGTCAGAGACCTTGGTTCTGATGCTGCTTCTGAGGCCTTCTAATCTCTCTTAAAGTACTTACTATGCTAAAGCACCATAGTTTGGGGTATCATGTTCTGAGCCCTAACACCACTCATACCTAGGACTTGGCTCAAGGCTTTGCTCATTGACATATAATAGTAGAACTTACCTGAGAAGAATGCTATGGCCTGGTGGAGATGTTATCACTGACACATGCCAGTGTGTAGATCAGCTTTTAGGGACCATTGATTGGTATTTTCTCTAGAGATAAAAGGCTAATAAGCTGTTCTGGTGATTGGAATGGGTGCTACTAGCAATAGACCTATCCTATTTCAGCATGGGCTTGTCTGAAGGGAGTATTTTAAGAGAGAGAGTACAATAAGCAGACTCCAGTTTTTCCTAGGCAGACTTTCACATTTGGCCTTATTTTTTATATACTTATTTAAATGAACGCAAAAAACGATATCAAAACCCAACTTCGGTTTTTGTGAACCTAGCTTGATTTGGAGCTCAATTTCTATCAGCAGGATCTGTTTCTTCTGGATTGAGCCTCTATGTGGTAGACCACAGCAATTTCAAACTCATCCGGTTCCTGTAAGTTAGTACAGGTGATCAAGGGGCTAAAATACATGTGTTGGGTTATACTAGATTCCCCCTGAAACCCAGCTATAGAGGCAGATTAACCTCAATAATTGGGCTAAGAATGGGGATGTTATAGTTCTAGAAAGGGAAAGACAGCTTAGATGTTTGGCATTAGAAACATTAGATGACTATCTGCAGTGAGTATGTGTTGACTGAATTTCTCCACTTGAAATATATCTACAGTGAACAAATGTAACAAAACTTGAGGGAAGGTCTTGTCTCAAAGAAGACTAAAGAAAGATCATATCTCATACTGCAAACTCGATGACATAATGTTTTGAACCATACAGTAAGAAGGCACTAGGCATTGACCCAGCTTGCCTAAGCAAGAAGAAATTCTGAAAGATCTCTTTCACCAGCAAGTTGGAGAAATGAGAATTGGGGATGAGAGAACAAATGGGTAGATCCCCACATAGGGCCCATGTTTCCTCAAGGAACAGCCATTCTTCACTTCT